ATTATAGAGAAGCTGCAAATTTAAGGCAAGTGTCAACAGTAGTACATTTTAGCTATCCACGTATAAGATCAATGCCTCATCAGAATGAGAAGTGACAGATAAAACTTGTGGATGCTTCCTAGACCAGCCAGTTTTAGAACCCACAAGAAATGACACCGATCTAGATGTGATTTTGGGTGGTGCACAGGACCTAGTTGTTTAGGTTCAGGTTCCTCTCAGTAGTAGCAACCTAATTACACCTGTATTTAGCAGTGTTACCAGAGAGAACTGACTAAATAAATGTAAAGTGCACAAATGTTCAATTTCAAGAAAGGGAGCTAAGTGAAAAGAAAGCCCAATTTTTAAAAATAAATAAACAAAAGGAGCAGTCCAAAAAGCAAGAGGGTTACAGCTAGCCTGGAATGTCTTTTTTTTAAATTATATAAAAATTCAAATTAGATATATGATACCACTCACAGGAAAACAGTGGTTCAGAAAAAGACCCACCCCATGATTCCACAGAAAAATTAAGGAGGCAAAGGAGGCAGTCACAGGAGAAGGATAACTTTTCAGAAATAAAAAGCTTGTCCAAATGAGGAACACAAGAAAGCATGTGAACTTGGCAGGTCCCCATCTTTAAACAAACAAAAAAAAAAAATTAAAGGGACTAAAAAAAGAATTTGAGAAGCGCTCTACAAAGGATTCTCAAGGTGATAGCAAAGAGATCCAAAACCAGGAGGTCAGTTACATCAAACCATGGAGGTTTTTACACCAGAAACCAGGAGGTCAGTTAAGGAATCAGTGGGGCCCCATAAGGAAGGAAGGTGTAAGAGACCGTTAGGGATGCTAAAGCCTTAAGACCAAGGCTCAGTTCTTGGTGTTGGACTTCACTGCTAAAGATGTTGGTGGGATTGCCACATTCAATGCATTCTGTAGCAGATCAGAAGAGCTAGGTCAGGGTAATGTAAATATAAGGAACTATTAGAAATAGACAATTCAGATGTCAGTCAGTAGGACCAGATGACATTCAACTGAGAATCTGAAAAAAAACTCAGATGTGAACTGGCAGAACTGCTGGGCAAGATGTGCAGTCTACCACCATAAATGGTCACTGTGCCAGAGGAACGGTGGATTGAAGTCATGTTGGCGATCCACAAGCAGAGCTCTAGATGGGATCCTGGAAGTGACAAACTGCTGATTTTGACTTTAATCTTACCAGAAATGATAGAGTCCATAACAAAGAATAAGACCCTGAGTGCATGAAAAAGAACCAGCAATCTATTAGGAAAGAGTCAGTATAGCGTCTTTAAAGGGAAAACCTGTTTCACTAACTTCCTGGAGTTCTGTGCAGGTGTCAGTAAGTGTGTGGATAAAGAGGATCCAGGAAACATAATCGATTTGGGTTTGTTAAAAGCCTTTGACAAGATTCTCTATCAAAACTTATTAAAAAACATGATATAGGAGGAAAGGTTCTTCAGTAGACTACAAGCTGGCTGGAGAGTTAAAAGTCAGTAGGGTATAGTGATCACCCTTTGGAGTGGAGACACTGAGGGACAATAGTTAGGTCCCTCAGGATTCATGCCGGGAGCAGTTTTAGTCAACATCTTCATTGATGACCTGAAGAAGGTAGTGAACAATGATATCTCCAAGTCTGTGGACAATGCTAATCTCTTTCAGGTAGTCAAATGCTATGCCAGGGGAGAAGAACTTCAAAAGGACTCATAAAGCTGAGTGGGTGGGCAAATTAGTGGTAGAAGAGCTTTAAATTTAAATTGTCTAGGGAAAAGTAATCTCAACCTTGCTTACACAATATTGAGCTGAGTCACAACTCATGAAAGAGGTCTTGGAGTCGTCATGGGCAGTTCTCAGAAATCATCGGCTCAGTGCAAGTAATGTTCAAAAAAGCCAATGATACGTCGTCATCAACATTTCATCATCAGGAAGGGTGTTAAGGACAGGTAGTGGTATCGTCCTGCTGCTCTATAGAACTATGGCATGCCTGTATTTTGAACACTGGGTAGAGCTCCAGTCTCTGCATCTCAAGAAGGAAGTAGTGAATTAGAGATTATACAGGGAAGGGGAATTAATGCTGCAAGGGATGGAGCAGCTAGCTGCCTTAAAAGGAAAGACTTAAAAGTCTGGGATGTTTCAGTTTGGAAAGAGAAGGCAGAGGTGTAAATGCAGTCAAGGTTTACAAAGTAACAAAAGCAGTGAATAAACTGAGTGTGAAAATGTTCACCAAACCTGCAACAGAAGAACTAGGTGGCATTTGAAACTAGTAAACAAGAAGTTTGAAATAGGTAAAAGAAATAGGTGGTACTTTACACACCAGGTTTGACCTTCTGGAGCTTGTTGCTGTACGAGATTGTGGAGCAGACAGTATTCAGCAGGTTCAAAAAGTTTGTCCAATAGCTTATCTTAATTGTGATCCATTGCAAATGCTCAGTGCCAGAAAGGAGATTTGGCAAGGTCTTTATTTTGTTGGTATTATATACATCTTCATTTCCTTCAGTTTCTCTGGATACCAAGCTGTCCAATCAAAGTGACAGAGTAGGGCAGCTTAATGAGTAGCCACCTTTCAGTTGATGCACCAGTTACATTCCCCTCTTGCCAAGAAAAACACAGTAGCCTAAACCATGATTTAGTCTGATAAATGATTTGTGGTTTAAGCTAGTACCTTCTGCTACACAGACCAACTTAGTCAGTTACTGCAGTTCTGAGGATAAATGTTAACTCTTTAGGCTGCGGTACTAAACTTGTTTCCAACAGAAGTCCATACCCTTCTGTGCACTCTTACTTTTTTCGCCTTTTATCCGTCTCTTTCTTCACAATATTCGGTGCTCTTCTCGCCTTGCTTAGGAAAGACTGTGTATGTTTGAGGATCAGAAGTGGATATAACTTGCTTAGAGCCAGAACTGCAAATAAGACTCAACAAATATTGTTTAGCTCACTTAGTGTTTTGGTAACTGATGTAATGTCAAAGCCACTGGTGCAGTGAAACATGCGTGCAGCCTTGGCTGTGAAAGCAGCGTCCAGCAGAGTCAGATCAATGACTGCATATCTTTTAAAAGGAGTCCTTGTCAACGCAAGTGCAACAGAGCACCATCTCCTCTCTGTCCGTGACTAGAAGAAAGGAATGAGAAACTCTACACCTGATGGCTATTCCTGCTAAATGAAATAGGGGTCTGAGCTGAGTCATTTTCATTCAGCTAGTTTAGTCTGTGTATCTTGCAGAATGTTGCATTTGGTGCATCTTGCTGCACTTTGCCTTGTACACAAAAGACTGCAAGTGGAATAAGTATGAGGAATTAAAAAGGTTGCGGGGATGGTAGAAGGAAGGGAAAGGGAATCAACTTGGAATATTTCATATTGGGCTGTTCTCTTGAGGTCAGATACTTCTATACAGCACTGACAACCAAAATGGTCTGGTGACTACTAACTTAGAAATGACTAAATTTAAAATGTGACAACAAAGGAATGGCCATTATCAAAGCCTGTAATTCTTACTTCTTAACAAACACTTTTTACTACCTTCCCCTGAGTTGTTAAATCATATTGCAAGCGTGAAGCTTTGGACATCTTTGAGACAGTTAGCATGTTCTTCAACATCCAAATCTGCCAATATTGAAAGGAGTGAATGAAACGTGCAAGCAAAGGAGCAGAGCATGTATCATCATTGTTCTTTTGATGATTGTGTTATGTATAGCTAACTAGCACCAGACGAAAACTGCTGAAAAGAAACTAGAGAGTGTGCATCAGCAATCTGTGGTAAAACATAATGCTTGCCTGTCTTGCTAATCCTAAAATAAATACCAGAAATACAAAATCTGCAGGGTTTATGTCAAGAATCCAAACACGTTGAAATATGGGTTGTTACACAGCACGTTTCTTATCTCTGCCTGTAGCAAGTCTTCCTCTTAGCATGAAGAGGAGGGAAATCTGAAAGTCTTTAAAAATCACAGAATCACAGAACAGTTGAGGTTGGAAGGGACCTCTGGAGATCATCTAGTCCAACCTCCCTGCTCAAGCAGGGTCACCTAGAGCATATTTCCCAAATCATTCTATCTAATGTGTTTCTGAAACAGTTAAAATTCCACAGTTCCTACATTTCCCCTAAATGGTTAAATGAAGCCATTTGTGTGAGCTCAAATGGCTCCTCAAGAGCTCCTGGCTCTCTGCCTTTTAAACCCACCCTTGCAGCAAAGCCTATGTAGAGGCCTGATCCTTTCCTTTCGTCTGCAGATCAGTATTCATCTGACAGTATTGCAGAACTGAGGGACAAACTAATCCACAATTCAGGCTATGCTATAAAAGTCAACACGTCAAAAACTCCTGGTGTTATCCTGGGTCAGTGAAGTAACTGCTCCTGCCCGGCTGGTGGCTGCCCTCAGCTGCAGCCTTGTGGAGCAACCTTGGTCTTTCTGTTCCCTGACCGCTAGCTTCGGCTTCTGCGAGGGACCTGACGGTAATTCTGCTGCCAGATGCGCTACAGCATGGCATAGCTCAGGCAAGGACTGGGGGCCCAAGCCTAAGCTGAAATGAGGCTCCTGGGCCCGTGGGAAGGGTGTGGATGGAGGGGCCAGGTGAGACAGCTCAGGACCCTGATGCAGAAGAACTGAAGCTTGGTAACTGTGGGGTTTTACAGCAAAATAGCATTGGCACTGAGAAAGGTAAAGTGATTCTGTAACCACACACTCAATGTGCGGGGATGCTATGACATGCTGGCCAACAGTTAAGTTTTCATGCAAGTTCACTTCTGCTATTTCTAAAGCATTTACTTTCTTTTTTGGAGTTGGAGTAGATAGGAGGAGGACATTGCCCTGCTGCTTCAGCTATCCTAGCTCACTCAATCAATGCAGCGTCCAAAACTTTCCATTAACTTCTTGTCACTGCTGAACTCACTGAAAAAATGATAGATGAAAATAAACGGTTTTCTAGTCTCTGATGCTATCTGTCTGGTTTTAAGAAAGCATGCATATAAATGCAAAAGATTAAAGTACGTTCTGATTTTATACCTCCAGGTTCCTGAGCATGCAGAGCTTGCCTGGATTCTTGGGTGCTTAACTAATGTGCCACGTTTACTACGCTTACCCCAATGGAAGGTATGATCAATTTAATAGATTGGAAGGGAATGTATGGGAATGGAGTAGGAGAACTGTCATCTTTGAAACACCTCATTATCTGTGAAGTACCAACTGTACCTTGGTTATCCTTGCTATATGGTTAAGTATTTCTTTAGTCCTGTTGCAGGAGGAGGAAAATGCGTTTTTCCAGGTCTGTTGCTATCAGTGCATGCGTTCCTTTGGAAGACTACAGGATAATATTTTGGCAGATACTTGCAGAAGCGATACTAAATGGGCAGGATTGTTTAATTGGTTTTATTAAAATGAACTTGTTAAAACGCTTGGAGTTACTTCAAGACTTATATAATGATAGAAGTGAAAAGCTACTAGACACTCCAGGGGAAGAATTGAGTCTTTCTGATAAAGGAGTTCCATGAAGAGCTTCTGTTTTTCTACTGAGAAGATTAGCTCTTCTATAGGTTTTTTTGTGAGATGGTGCAAAAGAAGCTTATGTTGCAAAAAGGAATGCAAAAATTATAAATATTAAAAAGACGCTGAGTGATTGCATTAATGCGCCTTAAAATGTTTGCCTTTATAAGTTTCAAATGCTTAACTTCTTCATTTTGGTGCTGCATCAGCATTACTGCACCACCTGCATTCTTGCATTTAATTTCCTTGGATTTTATTTTGGTATTTAGTAAGCAGGAAAATCAAAAGGCAGGAGAGAGAAGTATCAAAAAAGGGAAAAGAATCTTAAGAGCAGTTTGGCTTGCAGAGTTCAGAGCAGTCTTAAATACCTCCAGATGTTTTCTTTTTTCCTGTTTTTCTTCTTAATTAAATAAAAACAGTAAAACTTAAATACAGCAGCCAGTGTTAATGCACAGTATAGATTAAAGCCAACCTTTTCAAACCTGAGGTTCTAAAGTTAAGCTCTTAAATCCAGCTTTGTCTGGATTGACTTTCCAAATCTGCAGATAGGTGTTACAGGTGCTATGCTTTGCAATTTCAGTTCCCTGAACTGACACACTTAGAGATGTAGAGAGAAGAGAGGTTCTGTATGAGAGGGCGAGGAAAATCTAAAGGATTTGAATAGTTTTAATGAAATAATTACATTTCTAAGGATTTCAGTGTAATAAACTCTCGTTAAAAGCAAAAAGTAGATATGTCATTTCTCAAACAGCCTGAATATCTGTAGATGTCTTGGTTCAAATGATCCATATCCTATTGTGGTAAAAAAAAAAAAAAACCTTCTGGGCAATGGGTGGATTGCGGGAGCATTGTGAACTAAGGGAGAGAAGGCTGGACTCTGCCTCTCTGGACCTGGGTGCTACTGCTAGCTGTCACAGACCCTCTTGGTGACTGTGGGTAATCACTTCCCTCTATATTTCTTGATCTCTTATCTTTGAAACACAGGTATTAATTAATGCCTTTTATAGCTCTTCTCTAACAGCTTTCAAACTTACTGCTTAAAATACTGTTTAAAAGGTAGGGGTTATCATTAATAAGCGCAATAACCCAGCTATATTGTTCTGTATTTTTAATTATTTGGGGTAGTAAGATTGCAAATAGAAAGAAAGCACAAGCCTATATTTTCTCACTAATAAAATATCAGAACAGTAAAAGAGAATTCATAAAATACAGGACATAAAATGAGACATGTATGACAGCAAGGAGTACGTTCTACGTGGCATGCTTTTCTCTAGAGTTACACAATGAATGAACAGAGTGGTTGAAATCCTTAACACTCAAATTAATCGGATTTCTAATTAATTAAAATCATGGTTGGACTTTGACATCATTAACCAAAAGGGTGATTTCTCTCTGCTCTTCTTTTGCAAACAGATGAAGCGTGCCAGCCAGAATAATGAAGGAACCGTTGGTTTGTTGACATACCCTGTGCTTCAAGCAGCAGATATTTTGCTGTACAAGTAAGAGGCAGAATGTGAGCCCGCAGGCAATGTCTGTTCAGCTGCTTTAAAGTGAACACTCATCAGGTCAACGAGTTAAATTTTTAAGCGAGAGAGCTGAGCGTGATTAGATCGGAAGATTGGAAATGGATGACAGCTTTTTACCTCTCAAGTGACTGGTTGAAATCTAGCCAGGGTTGAAAGCGGCCGCAAAGTCAAAAAGTTGGTCATCACAGACCAATTCTTAGGGAATTCTAACACCTATTGCTTTTCGTTTATGAATATTACATGCTTATGCACGTATATACTTTTTTTTTTTTAAAGCAAGTATGCTGTATTTTATGCAGTGCAGCATAGAGATACTTGAGCTGGCTCTATATGTTATACCTGTGTTATTGTGGAGTTCTGTGTAGGTGGGTTGGGACTGCTGAAAAAGTGAATAATTTAGTGCGTTACTACAGCTCTGCACCTTGTGGAGGACTAGCTCAAGTTTCTCTGGGGTACATACACTACATGACGTAATGAAAATACACCCTAAAGAGGGCCTGGTTACCGAGCATGCCCAAGTTCCTAGCCTAGCTGCTAGAGCTTGTAATGCACTGTCATGAAGTCCAGTTGGATTTTCTAATATGGTTTAGATTGCCTCTGTAACTAAACGTCAGAGATATGTCATTCATATGTCGTATGTTAATTATTTCAGTGTTCTACGTTTATGTACTTTGTAGAATTGTTATGAAGTAGGTAACATTAATATTTTTTGTGACAGAGAAGTAATACAGAGCTCTTAGGAGGGAGACTCTGGGAGGACAGTGTCACCAAGATTAGCAAATTGTTAATCCAGAAAAATATTTCTAGAGAAATTTAATCCTAAGTGATTAGTAGTAGGGGAAAAAAGTAATATCCGAAGACTGGTAGATGATATTTCTAATTCACTTCTATTTTAACTGAAAGTAATGGGAAGCAACCAAAGGGAAGAAGGAATTTGAACATGGGACTCACTGTTTTGAAGATTATTCTAATTTGGTTGACCAGTAGTAATTTGGGGTGGAACCTAGATTTCATCAGAAATCACCTTGCATTGGTTGAGCTCAACCGTGTATGTCTCTTGCATCTCTAATAAGATCCTGTGATTTATCGCTCCATGGTGAAGCCTGTCTTTTGTTTGCTACTGAGTATATTAACAGCAGGCTGTTCAGATGGAGAACAAAGCAAGGAGGTGAAAGAGAAACAATATCTCTTCGAGGAAAATTGGCATAATATCTTTAATGAGAAATGTTTCAATGTAAAAATATAAGATAAGGAACAAGAAACGGGGAGAAATGGAAACACAGGAAAGGAATAGCAGCCAGGAGAAGAATTAAGAGCTGGAGGTGGTGGAGAAATGGTACTAGTTCAGATGAACCAAGGATCAGAGTAAAAGGAAAATGGACAGAAGGTAAATACCTGAGAGAAAGGAATAAAAATAGCAACAAGACAAATATTTAAAAAACAGCAAAGAAAAAGGCAAAGCAACATGCAGAGGCATTTATAAAAACAATATGCTTTCTGTTTAGTGGCAGACTATGTGAATATGGAACCATTTTGGCATGTGGAAACATTTCTTTTAACCTGCTTCAAGTGCATTGATTGTGGTGACTGGTTTTCTTTGTGTTAGTTGTAGGCCACTGTGATTTCCTATTGGCTCCTGTAACTGTTTTTAGATTACCTTGTTGACTGTTCGGTGGGGAATAACAGTGGAGAAATTGATTCCAGGATGTCAGCCCAGTGATTCAGAATAGGAAGTAAGGAATACCATGTTGAACTGAAATTTTCTGGGAGCTTAAAAGATGCATAGTGAATTGTCTTACAGTGGAACATGTCTAGGATTCAGAGCTGAATACCCCACAAGTCTTTAAAAAACAAAAAAAAACCACAAAAAAAACCCCAAAAACACAGCTGGGGGGCAAGGGAGAGTAATCAAAAGCTGGCAAGACTTCAAGTCTGCCTCATCTAAAAGAATCATATGTTTTTAGTGAGGCTGAGTAACTGTGGGAAAGAATCACCAGGGGAAGTAATGGATTCTTCACCTCCTGATGTCCTCAGATGCAGATTATATTTTTCTCCAGAACGGCATCGAGGCTATTGAGCTCAATACAGAAGATCAAATGGTTCTTTGATCCTCACAGTTCAAATCTATGAATGATAACACTTGTGGCAGTAGAAACACTGACCCACATGATATTTATACAATACCAACCCCTGAGGAAGAACCAGTCTCTCCTTCCCTTCCCTTGATAAATCCCCAGTGCTAACTTCTCAACAACAGTTATGTCTTTCTGAGACTTGACAAGGCAAGATGCTTGGACTTTATGCCTTGCTGATCTTTCTTGTGTTGTTCACACACTGCAACGCATGCTCTTTGATCTCTTTAAAAAAAAAAAAAAAAAAAGCAGCAGGAGATACTACAAAAACCTTTCTTTGAGTTGAGTTTAAAGATTTACTCTTACTGGTATCCTTTACCATGCATGTTTTCATGAAGGGCTGTTTTCACTCTTGGAGAGGTGCTTCACTTCAGCAGAAAAAGCGGATTCATATTTTGCTACAGTCAGTTTGGGATCTTGTTCATACAACGCCTATATCTAGCTGAGACTGAGTGTTTGGGTCAATCTGGCTCTCCGTCATGGCAGGAGCTGTGACAGTCTTGAGTAACATTTCAGCAGAACTAGAGAGCTTTGCTGAGTTTCCTGTGTCTGTCTTTTATTAAAAGGTCGACACGTGTTCCTGTTGGAGAAGATCAAGTCCTGCACCTGGAACTAGCCCAAGATATAGCACAACATTTCAACAAGAAATACGGAGAATTCTTTCCTGTGCCCAAAGCCATTTTAAGTGAGCTGGTCGTGGTTAATTTTTTTTTTCCTTAAGCTGCTGTTCATGGTTGAAGATGGATATAAATGTGTGGAAGGAGTTTCGGGGACCAGAGAAAGTAAACAAGCTGATGGCAAAACAGTGGCAAAGTAAAACTGACATTAGAGGCTGTAAAACTGAACTCCCAAGATGGGCATAGGGCTTTACTAATCCCCAGTAAAGGAACGGATGTGGCATTATGGGGATCTTCCGACTCCTCAGGGTGCTGCTGCCAGTCAGCCTTGCTTCAAGTACAGGGCCTTTTAAGAGAGGAGTCTCTACTCCATGTTGCTAGTTCAGGAGGCATGTAAGGAACAAGACAAGCAACATTTAGCAGGCAGAATTCTGCAATGTCTGAGTTTACATTACTGTTTACGTTAAGCATGCTATACAGCTTTTAGGTTTATTACTACAGTGCTCAAAAATCCTTTAAGTACACGTAATATATACTTGCTTATTTCAGTAACGGTTTCTTGCAGAGCTTAGACTTTCCATTTTTGATCTTAGTTTCCAGGAGACTTATAAGAAAAAGCTCTTCAAGCGTTTTTGAGCTACAGGGTCATAGGCCGGGGGGTGGGGAGGAGTCAGATGGCGCAAATGGCATGTTTGTTAAGAAACATGAAGAACTGGGCAAGGAAGAAGCATTGCATCTTTGTTGTAAGTAATCTAGAGGAATGCACAGCAGAGACCTTCGCCCCCAAAAGGGCAAGGAGCTCTCACCTTAGAAAAGACAGGCTGTAATAAACCTCTCTTGATTTTTCAAGCCTCGGTGACAAAAATGATGTTAGTCCCAGAGTGTGGCTTAGAGTATACTGGCTTTTACAGACTCTGCAACTTCTAATGAACAGTGGAATGCTAAGTACTGTGATGTAGTGTAGCCTAGAGTGCGCAGCCGAGGACACAGGTGAGATTTTATAAAGATGAAATAAAGCTCAAAATGAAAAAGGAGCTTTTCACCTGCCTCATGATAAGCATACCTTCCACAAGTATTTACAAATCAGTCACAAGTACTAGGTGACTGATGGATATACAAACCAATGACAGGTACTAGGTGACTGGTGGATTACAAACCAATGACAGGTACTAGGTGACTGGTGGATGTAGGGAGTTACTCAGACTTGCCAACTCTAGGCAGCTAAATCACCTGGGCTCCTTCAAATTTAAGAGACTCCTCTGAAGGATTATTTGGAAAAGAGCCCCTTCTGGAGCAGCCTGATTTGTGCTCTGAAAGAGCCCTTATTCCTTCACTGAATACATAAGGAACTGATGGGGAGTATGTGGGTAATTTAGTTGGCTGTATTAGATGTGTGAAAACGACTGGTGTGAATCACTGCCACTAGATCAGTGGTAGTTTGTGCACTTGGTGAATGATGTTTCTTGGCAAAAGACTGAAACGTATTCAGGCATGTAACTTAGTAGATTGTGTGATACCTACATCTCTTTTATCATCTGAACAATATTTTCCCGCTAATGGAGCCCATTAGTTTTTGTTTAAGGAACTCTTGAGAACTAACAGTCCCTATTGATATTTAGGAGAATAACCAAGAGTTTTTGGATGGGAGAGTTTCCTAAATTAAGAAGGTGAATTGCTCTGGGATTCTTTTTAGGCAGTGCGTTTAACCTGCTTCCCCAGTGCTGTGGAACATTTTGCCCGTGTTCAGTCCTAGCTCTCTAGGCAACTGGGCTCTCTTGTCCCCAGTGCCAAGAATATAAGGGAAGAGAGTTTGCAGGGGAAATCAGCAGGTAGCCACAAAAGATATTAGGAAATATCCCAGCAGAAGTATCTGTTCAGAAAGGAGAGAAGACTGAAGAAGGGAAAAAAAGAAGTAGATTTTCAATTACTTTATAGGAGGAGAAAAATGACTTAGTAGGACAGGAGTAAGGACTAAACAGGAGTGTATGTAATTGCACTCAGAACTCTCTTTTTTTTAAGCGAGGACGGACAGAGGACTGACAAATTTTGATGTCCTGCTATGAAGTGTTCTCACCAGTTGTCGTAAGAGATCATTGTCTATGTGCGTGTATAACTACTATTTTTTTTTAAGGTACAACAAAGAAGATAAAGTCCCTCAGAGATCCGGCAGTGAAGATGTCCAAGTCAGACCCACAGAAGTTAGCTACTGTTAATGTCACAGACAGCCCTGAGGAGATAGTGCTGAAATTTCGCAAGGCTGTGACTGACTTTACCTCTGAGGTGACCTACAATCCAGCGAGTCGCCCTGGTGTCTCCAATCTGGTGTCCATTCATGCTGCTATAACAGGACTTAGTACAAAAGAAGTGCTGCACCAATCTGCTGGTCTTGACACTGCTCGGTACAAAATGGTGGTAGCAGAGTCAGTTATTCAAAAATTTGCCCCTATCAGGAATGAAATCAAGAAACTCCAGGAAGACAAATCCCATCTGATAAAGGTTTTAGAGGATGGAGCAGAGAAAGCCAAAGAACTGGCTGCCCCCATCTATCAAGAAATAAGACGACTGGTGGGATTTCAGTAGAAGCTGCTGAATAGTCACAAGGACTTTTGTTTTCTGGGACAGCCATTTTTTTGTTTGTGTCTTCTTGATCATTTCAGTTTGAAACAAAAACTTATATCCTGGAAAATCAAAGCAGACTATCAAAGTTTTTGCATCAAAAATGTACGTGAAGCCAGTTCTTCCCAGTGGGACCAGCATCAGGCTAGTCTGGATGGTCAAAGGAGGAAGGTGCAGGCAATCACAATTCACAAAGAAATTTCACAAAAGCAGGATAGCAAGGTTACCCACATAGGGGTTTTTTTGCCCCCCCCCCATTAACCACTGAAAAAAAAGCTGAGGTATAGGCAATGTAATTAGAATCTAGCAGAAAGAGTTGTAATCTTCTTGAGAACCTTTCTTACTGTGGATGCAGTCTTGGTCTTGTTGCAGAAAGACAGCTCATCCCCTTGCTGTTTATCCTGCTTTGATGTGGTGTAGAAAGTGTTCAAGGATAACCAGAATAAAAGCAGACTTTACAAATCAAAATGCTTAGGGCATTGGTAATGGAGAGAGAACTTAGTACCTCTTCCTATCACCTCTTCAAACTCAGTCTGATTTCATATCTGCATCTAGTTTGTGTGAAGTAAGTTAGTCTGTCTTATCTAATATATGTACACCCATACTGTAAAAGTCTCTGTAACTTTTGTGGTAGATGGCCTCTCTGACAGTCAATCCCAAGAATTCAGTGACTGAATGTGAATTTCACTTCTGACATCTGTGCCATCTTGCTGGTCAGATCTGAAGCACTTTGGCAGAAAACTACAAAGCTGCTCCTTTTCCACCTGTTACTTGGTTATGCCAGGACCTCCAGGATTGTCAACTCAGCATCAAGTCTAGGATTCCTTGAAGAAGCAGGCAGGGGAAACGATGTAATTCTGGATGGGTTGAGAAATTAGAGAACTGTCTGTAAAATTTACAAACTTATTTGATTAAAAGAGTGTGCTGAAGTCAGAGCCAGAACCACAGGCAAAACATTTTGTCAGGATGAGATTTGGTGGATCTTTATGAGCTCTCACTATTGATCCTAAAGAAAGATCCGTAATGAGTTAGCCTCTGCTGATCTTAGGCCTCACCGGTCCCACAGATCATGTGGGATATCCCAGCAGAAGTATCTGTTCAGAAAGGAGAGAAGACTGAAGAAGGGAAAAAAAGAAGTAGATTTTCAATTACTTTATAGGAGGAGAAAAATGACTTAGTAGGACAGGAGTAAGGACTAAACAGGAGTGTATGTAATTGCACTCAGAACTCTCTTTTTTTAAGCGAGGACGGACAGAGGACTGACAAATTTTGATGTCCTGCTATGAAGTGTTCTCACCAGTTGTCGTAAGAGATCATTTTCACCTACAGACCATGTAATTTGTTAGTGAGTGTGCAGCAAAGGGGAACTCTCAGAAGGAGACGCGTTCTCCTGAAGACCAGGCCATAGTACGTGCTCAAAGCTGACTAAAGCCTTACTCCTCCTGTATGATTGGGTCAAGTGCTCTGCATTTGAAACTGCTATACTGAAATGCAAGTTGAGTTCATTCAGTACTCTGGAAGCTCACAACCATGGCAGCTACTGGAAGGAGGGAAATTAGTGTCTATGAAATATGCCTATAGCGTTTGTCACAGATGATGGCAGCCTTATGTGACTGAGTCAGTAAAACTGTTTTTTCTCTGTGTAGTGCAGATTTTTTTTAAAAGCTATTTAGTTTTTAATTAGTAAATTATCACAGGAAAGTGGTTCAGAAATAATTTTTTTTGATTTTGCAAAAGAAGTAGTTATGGACTGGATATTTGGGATTCTGCACAGAGACCTATATTTGTTTGCGAAGGTTCTGCAGAAGGAGAACCATGAGGCAAGAACCTGATGATGACAAAATTAGTCAAGACTACAGGAGCAGAGCAGGTAGAGAGAACAATGAGAAACCAAACTCAGTGTAGACAAGTCCAAGGTAATGACCTCTAGAAAGAATAAGTGCATTCATGAATACTCCCAGCTTTCAAAAGAGCTGTAGCAGATTGGGAAAGGGCAGAGGTATTGCTATGCATATTTAATTTTGTAAACCTTTTGTCAGTGTTTAACAACAGATACAAAAATTCATTAGTTTGCACAGGAACTAGGAGAAAAAATTATTAAGATACTCATATTCAGTTAATGTCAAGAAAAAGGCATACTGGGCTTACTTAACTCCCTTCTATTTGTATCACACCTTTAACCTGGTGATCAGAGAAGTTGAGGAATTTTATTTTGACAGGCTCTTTAACCCTATTTTGAGGAGTAGTAGTAGCATAGAGAGGAAAACAAAAGGAGGAACATGATGGAAGTAAATCAAAATAATAAATGGTATGGAGAAAGTTTTGGGTTTTTTTGTAATATTGACACAATATGTAGGCAATGAAATTTAAAAGGCAGATGAATAAATGTTTGTAAAGATATGTTGTCTGTACATGGTATATACTTGATTAACCCACCTGCCACAAGTTCAGCTACATTTGGTAAGTAACACTTATTAGAATAAAAACCAAGGTGCTTCAGCTGAAGTTACATCTCGGTGTTTTAAGTATTTTGCTTTTACACAAAATCTGTGGAGCTCTTGCTCCTTCTGTTCATTAGAAGTCACAGCAGATAAAATCAGGCAAAGCAAATATCCTCTTCAATTGCAGTCCTCCTCAGCACGGCCTTGTTCAATTACTGCTACTCACCAACAATTGGCTTTAAAATACTTGTTAGGGCACTTTGTAGCATAGATTGGTTTGAGCAGACATCACACGAGAGCTTCCTTAGGATAAGTTAGCACAGTGCTCGTAGAGATGCTGAAAATCTTCAGCACTAATATGTCTAGTTTCTATCTCCTCCTGCTTTTCACTAGCAAAGGTAGGAACATGGATTGAAAAGACAAATGGTTTCAAGGGCTTTTTACGTTTCTGATACTCAGGTCACCTAACATCTGAAGTTGGCATTTGACACACCTCCTTTGCAGTGAAAAGGAAATAGGTGTATTCATATGTCTTCAATACAATTAAAAGTGGTGGGGAGTCAGGGGAGAAGACATCAACAGCCAATTCGCCACGTTTCCCAAGCTGTTTTGAACAAAATGCTCTTCTCTAAGGTAGTTAAATTTTTCTGAAAATTGCATAGGTGGAGCAGGGAAAAAAGCTTCAAAAGAACCTTTTCTGTGGGTTAAGGTTTTACTGTATTACTTACTTAGCAATATTTCCAGAAAATTATCTATTTTCTCTCTTTGTAACTCAAGAATAATTTGAAGTTTTTTCCTTCCCTTTCCTCTGTCAGTCAAACAAATCTTACTTGCCTGACCTATTTCCTTGGAGTAAGGAAATATGCCTGTCTTTTCTTTTCCAGGAAAGTTAAACTTCTATAAAATGAACATTTTAATCTGTTGTTTGTTAACTTAAACAGGCTTTTTTATTTTAGTAGTTCCTGTGCAGAAATTCTCAAAAATAGCAGTTCCCAATGAAATAGTCCCAATACCACTAACAGCCATGATCCTCAGAGTCCCCTGAGAGGAGACAACTGTAATTTAGATGTCTGCAGGTATATATTGCTGCCTATTTAAGTTTTCATAGAGCCTGGCTTTTCTGGGCAGTTAACCATTCTGGCGTTCAGGTTGAGAATCTAACTGGACCTAGCCTGGCTGCCTCCTTGCGTTCCCTGAGTGTTTACCTAGCATCTGGGAGGAGCTTGGCAGAAGGAAGTTAAGCCTGGAGCAACATGTGGTTACTATCGTCAGTAAAAGTTTGATACTAAGCAACTGATCTCTTCCCTCCTCTTCTACCTCCGTGTTTCCTCTTCAGAATATTTTTGTAAGTACCTATTTCAGACAGTGTTCTGTGCCTGTGTTTACTTCAGCAAAGTAGCGTAGGTGAGTTAGAGCAGGTCTTCAGATCAAAGCAGTTGTTGCGGAAGGCATGATTTCTGCATGCTACATGTTTCAGAGGGATTTGTCTCACACTAGCATTAATCTGATCCCATGGATTGAGATTTATTTACAACTGGTATACAGTAGGCACACTCCTGAAATGCATCTTCTACTTTAGTTTCATCCAGTCCGTATGCCCTGAGACTGCTCTGATGCCTGCTGAAGTGCAGTAAGTGGAGACTGTGGGGAGAGTTCCTGCAAAAGCACAATCCTGTTCTCAACTGTACTGCCAGTGTAGACACGCTCTGTTGTACAATTGAAGTTAACAAAAGATGTTCTCCAAGATTTGGAGAGGAAAAGCTCCAATCATGTTTTTTGTAGTTGAAGAAAGAAGAGTTGAAGCATAGAGAGGTATCCTTTTCCCTTGTTGTCTGTGCTGCTTTTTGTTTAAGCTGCCCTTTCTTCAGTGATCCTCTTCCTCAAGTACGTGCAGTAGTTGTGGTCTTTGTATCTAAATCTCCTTTCGCATTCCTGTGCGTTCGGTGCATGAGAAGTACATATGATACTGGTTGGGATCAGCAGTATCGGAACAGAGACGTACCTAACGTTCCTGGATATATTAAGAGATTTATTTACCTTTAAAGGAACAGAGGGAGATGAACAGCAACTGCACAGTGAATGACTGTTTATTAAGATCTAATGTGATGTTCATACACTTAAGACATTTATCTCTGCAGCTAGTGGTTCCGGGGAAGTCTTCGTCGTCTTATCGCATATCAGAAGACGCTGACTGTGGGTCTTGGGGCTGATGGAGAAAAATGTCTTTAATCCTAATTTAGAGCATATAATTTGTTGGGAATTTCAAATTCAGTAAGAATATCTTCCTCAACAGAGACTCTAAATGATGACTGGCCTCAAAAATTAACTGCGACACTGCTCCAGCATCTACATACATCCCTGCCTTGGATAACTGGGATGTGTGTCTACTGTACAGTATGCTGGAATTTGTCTGTTACTCCTAAATGTGTGGTTGAAATATAGTTACTTTTCAAACACCATAATCTAAGTTGCCGCAGGTTCGCCGGCAGGCCCTGTGCATAATCTGTTTCAGTGTGTGTTTATATATTATCAACAGTTCAAGCAAAACTCCTTAGCATGGTTATAGGTGTTTCCATTCAAGGTTAGGGTGTTCATATGAGTGGACTGAAAGTTCAGGGAAGGAGGACAGTCAAACGGAGTCCTTGGAGACTGACCTGCATCTAAATGTTCTGGACAGGTAATCTAGATAATCAAAGCAAGTATTTTCTTATCTTTGGGCAGGGCGCTGATGGTCCTGACAACAGTACAGCAATAAATACTACTGGTGAGAGCCTTTAAGTCACCTTTTGTAGGAGCTGTGTATCTGATGCATTGAGGACTGTATTATAACACGAAACTTGGTTTTCTGGTCTCTGGAGTTTACTAGCTGCTTGTTGCACCAGAAATTTGTTTGGGAAACGTGAGGAGTCCCAAAAAACAAAGCCTTTGTGTAGCTTCCCAAAATAGTGTTTTCTCAAGACGACTTGTTCATGATAAGCTGCAGTACCAATTACAGTAGTTGCTCTACAGTCAGTAAGAGACCCCAAAGTCCATTCTGAATGACTCATTCATATCCTTGGTTACTGCTCTGGTGCATGATCTTCGTCTGTCCATATGACTCAAGGTTCTTTACAAAACTCAGAGAGGATCTGGGTGTGATTTTAGTAACAGCCACAACATGGGCCCAGGTAGTTTTGAGTCTTGCATCTAATGAACGTGCTCTTTCAGTTGTCCAGCTTGGCTAGTTTTACATTCTTCGAACAACAGATGGATCTTTCACCTATCCTGATATTCCTACATCTGAGTTCCTGGATGTTTTTCACATGACAAATTGCTTCATAGACAGAAACCGGCTAGTATGCTAACATAGGAAGTCTAATGGGAAAGGTTTTCTGTTTAGGAAAGAAGTTATCAGCTCTTGCCAGGAAAACAGAACCCCTATCTGCTATACTGAACTATCTAATTTCCTTTAAACAATTTGATCTGTTCCTTCTTTCTAGGTAAATTGGGCAATAATAGCTGTCAAGAAGATTGCCGCTTTCTTATGTAGTCGAAAGTCTTGGAAAGACCCAGGCACCTCTTCTTATGATTTCACAAGTCCGTTTCATCATGGGACTTAGCTGGTTGCATCAACCAGTTTCAGGGAAAAATGCTACAGCCAATGTGCGATCTTATGTGACATTCATTGATCTAATTAAAGTAGCTGCATTTTTTGGTTTGTATATTTGTTTGTTTATTTTTAACTTGCCAGCTTATGAGAGAAGACTTTTGTATAACTTTGGATTCCCAACTGAGCTTCTTCTATCCCATAGGTGACCAGGTAATGGAGAATTCTCTTTCTTGACAGAAATAAGATTTTGTGCTGATTCCCACCCTCCTTTCTATCTGTTTTGTTGGTTGTGCTGGTGGTCATATTTTGTAAGACTTGACAGGTAAGTATTTATTTTGTTGAGTGCCAATGAAAAATCATTCTACCTGGAAAACTTATGTTATGCCAATGGTACCTGTTATGCCACTGATCCTTTTGCTTTTTGGGCAGTAGCTTTGGTTTTACAATCATTTCGTATAAAACCAAATGCCAACCAGTACTGAGGGATGAGCACACGTGCCCAATTACAATAGATAGTCTAATACCTGGGAAGAGATTTTGCTACTGTGGCAATTTGCTGTCAAATAATACCATGACTGGAGATAAGATTATCCATGAGTGGTCTCATTGTGCCTGTGGGCATGAATCTATTACTTTTTTTTAAGCACTGAGCTTAATGTCTGTTGTGCTGTCGTGCTCTCAGCCCTCCAACATGGCTATGAGACAGGAGCAGCGAATCTATGCCACACCAGAAGGCTTGAACAGTTCCAGATGTGCTGCATCTGGTGTATCTGCAAGATGAAATGTCAGGACAAAATTTCCAGCACCAAAACATTTAAAAGTTGTTATATGTTTGGTAGTAACAGCATGCTTGTAAAAGCCTGGCTATGATAGTATGGTCTTAGCCTCATTCATATGGCCAACTTGAAAAGTCACAAGGCTGCATGAGACGGTAAAGTAAAGCAAGCCGTCTGCTTCCTTGATAACAGTCAATGTAAAGACAGTATGAGTCTAATTTGAAGGATTATTGGATCAGTCCCTACAGGTAGGAAGCAACAATTTGTGGCAGAGCAAAGTGGTGCCAGTCACCCTTACTGCCCTAAACCATTCTGAAACAATGCTCACACTTACAATGCTGTTGTATCTGCAGCTCTCTGATTCATCCAATTTCTTAAGCATGCCTTCACTGCCAGGGTGTCTTCATTTTCATCCATCAACATGAAACAGTGGTCAGATGCTGATAAAACTAGCCAAGCTTCTGTTGGAAACACTGGATGTGTGTTCTCTACCTTGGGTGAAAACTTCTTTCCTAATGCCCACAGCTCTTGCAGAAAAATACTATTAAACAAAACGTAGATTAAATTTATCAAACAGGGTCACTCTCTGGCCTTATCCAGAGTTTCTGGTGTAGATGGTTTCTAACTTCTGCATCATCCACCCTGTTGAGCTTCATGTTTTCTTCCCTAAACTATACCCCTCCTTGAGCAAAAAAAAAAAATCTTCTTTAATGTTTCGAGATGGACTTTTTATTGTGACAAGAAACAGTTGTTCAAAGATATTTCAATACTCTCTTCATGGTATTTGCTGAATGAGTAACAAAGATCTCAATAAGTGGGTCTTGAACTGAGTACTCAAGCCAAGAAAGATCTTCCTGAGTGGGCTGAGGCTTTCTCTGCCCACACTTACTCCTTCACGGCCTCTGTGGCAGATGTTCCTACAGCAAGAATGGGAAAAGCAGCAGTGTTCTGTTTCTGTTTAGGCTTGTAGGCCAAACATAAACTGTGAGTAGTGGTGTAGCATCCACTCTTCTTTAGGCCCTCATATATTTCCTGAAACAAGTAACTGTTTGCCAGCCTCAAAGATGGAAGTTGTGTGGATATTTAGCAAAAGAATGGGTATTTTATCTTACAGTAGCTGTGGTTCTTCAAGACTTGTTACCCATGTGTGTTGTATGTCCTGCCTTCCATCTGTTCAGATCGAGGAGCTGTTCCTGAGACTCTTACTCTTAAATATAGGTTACGCTTTTTTCTTCTTGCAATAGAAAGCAAGGTGTGCAGAGTGAACGTTGGGCTTTCATGGGTATGTCTCTTTTAAAAGAATCCAATCGTGTATTCCTGGGGCATATGTGGAATGCATGTGGACAATATATACCTCGCAGAGAACTCCAGTTTAACTATAGCCTTGATGCACAGAACACTCCTCCCCGTCACATCAAAAACACTTGTTCAAGAAGCACCAGACTTACTGTCTAGTCACAGACTGAATGCCCTGGATGAGAATGTATGAGCCTAGTCCTTTCTCAGAGATAATGTGTTCTCTAGGCGTGCCCTTTGACACATGAGGGAGAAGGGCCTCGAATGGACCTTGAGAAAGCATCAGTTGGGAGAGGATTACTGCTACCATTGGGACGACTGATCCAAGCTGCAATGCTTCTGGGCCGCCCCGCCCCCCCCCCCCCCCCCAGCAGCAAGCTGTGAACTAGATGCATTTACCTTGTGGGCTGCATAAAGAAAGGTTGTGTAGTCTTGGTGTGACCCATTGCAAAAGTATCATTGTGATGTTTAATAACAGGTGCTGAAGTGGCTCAGGAATGTGCTGGGATTCAGGCTGTGTTACTGATTCATATGTGGGAGCAGGTTATTGTGGCTCCGTTGAAGATGAAATATGCTTTGGCAGGGTTTTTATTTCTAAGGGACTGATTTAATTCATATAGAGAAACAGTGTTGTTAAAGCGGACTTTAGAGTTAAAATATACCTGTATAGAATAATACCAGAATTGAGGTGCTGAGCATCGTTCCTATTTTAATCCCTTTTGCTTACCAATATCATATGCTGACTGGCTTGGAATAGAAATTACTTTTTTTTTTTTTTTTTTTTTTTGCCACCAAAGCCTTACCTCAAAACGCTTCACTCTGCTCTCTGGTTGCCTTTGAAGAGATGGATTAGCTGAAGCGTGAATGTCATCCTTGTGGTTTATGAGAATGTTTCAGTGGATGATGACTGGCTTATCAAGAGAGATCTCTGAGTGGGCTGGACTGGGATTTGGTGGATGCTGGAAAGTTTGGGGGGGGGGCTGTTTTAGGTTTCTTCAGTTTAGTAAAATGTGTATCTGCTGCTGAAGATCAGCAACTGAAAAATGTAATTAATAGGAAATCTTCTCTATCAGCTTTGTAGAGTATTTTTCTGCAGCTTTATGGAAAATAACTACTTGTGTGTCAGCAAGGGCATTTTTGTCTATTGTTTTTTAATGTGATACTGGTCTTTGTTGTCGGTGGTTTTCTGCTCCTTCAGTATTATTTCTAAGGGAAGGATGTTGCTCTTTTGCTTAAGCAAAGAAAATCTAAAAAATGGGTTTACTTTCTATTTTCTTGATGCCACTGAGCATGTTACTTAACTCTGCTGTGTCTCAGTTTCCTTTGCTCTAAAATGAGGCTTATGAGTCGTTATTACAGAAGTATTGAGAGGCTAAACTAATATTTGCTAAGCATTTTGAGCCTTCCAGTTGAGGATGCTCTCACTTGGCATTGAGTTATAGCATTTCTTTCTGAGATGCTCTATTAGTGGTGCTTATGGCATGAATAAACATAGTGAAAGGTGCTGCAGGGCAGACAGTTCAATCCAGTGTAATAAATAATGGATCCAATGAAAGCGTCAAATTTGTCTGCTTCACAGAAACCTGCAGGCTATTCCTTTCTAACTTGATATTTTTTGTTCTGCTGCAAAGTGCCTGAAAGTTTCCCGAAAGAAATTTACACTGTGATCTCTACTGCAGCTCCTTAATCTGTGTCTCTTCCCTGCAGTCTGAAAGTAAGGGCCTCCACTGAGGATCTAATATCAAAAGGGAAGGATAGTGCCACTTACCGGGAGGGGAAAAATAATTGCTGAATTTCCTGAATAGTAAATAGTTTGGATTTTTTTGAAGGAGCTGGATCCTCTGCTCTTTTGGCCCTTGCTCTGCTGGCAAATTATTTGGGCTTATATGCCTCTGCCCGCTATTCTTGCAAGTCTCTTTCCCCCCTTCCCGAAAATAAAAATAAAAATAAAATAAATAAATAGATTTAAAAAAAAAAGGAAGAAAAGGTTTGGTTTGGAAAGTGGCGAGACCAATTGT